AGTATTTAAGTTGAAGTCGGGTTTGAGTTGAATTTGTATTAAGCAAATAAACATTAAACTCCACTCAGTCACTCGGCCCGAGTTTTCAACCCTAATCTATGATTGAAGGTAAGTTTGCTCGAGACCTGTAAAAATTATATCCCATGTTCGATTTATAGGATTAGACTANTAAGAGCCTCCATTTGAGAGTGGATTAGTCGAGCTCCAAAGCCGGTGAACCACTATATTCTTACTGTGCAAATTCCCCTATCCCCTAAGAAACACTTCATCACTGCCATNCACTGCCTTTCTAGATCTGATTTCTCAACCCTCACCCACAAATCCTAGTACTAGTGCCCTTTTTAAAAAAAAAAAAGGGTAACAGTGTAACCAGCTCCACCACCATCTGTAAATGAGTTATGGCTGGAGGACAGGATTGCTTGTGTTGGGGTCAGATTGTTCACATGCCTGATGCCTNTTGCTGTAGCATTATTGACAAATATAATTAAATGGATCAAGAATATCAAAATAATGGATGGCTATTCTAATGATTGTATAACCAGAATCGGAGCTAAACATAACCTAAAAGAGTTTTACATTTTGATGTATGAAATCCAACCAAAAAAACAACCCCTACTGACACCTCGACCACCATCTGCAATTGAGGATTGACAGTGATGGTACCACGCAAAAATATCTAAGGATGAGCTCGGTCATCTAGATCATGCTTCTCAAATCAAAAGCTCAGCTCATTTATATTACTTACAGACCTCGACCTCAAACCTCAACCTCCATATCCATATCACGAGAAAGGTTGTGCATAGGACAATTGGATCCCACCAAATTCTCCTTTCTTTGGCATCAATCAACGAGCGCAAGTCTCGTTACGCAATTGGGGGGAACTGTTACAAAGGAGAGGCGAGCCCCAGATCAAGCAAGGCCCAAGAATAGCTATAAATAGGAGGCAAAGCCTTCGAAAGAGAAAAAAGAGTGTCATTGTAGTCTTACAAAAATATTTTCTCTAAACTCCACGTAGTAATCAATATATTCAAGAACGAGAGACTCCTTTAAAAGTGGATTAGTCGAGCTTTCAAACTGGTGAACTATTATAAACACTTTATGTAATCACCCACTAATCCCCAAATCCTATTCCCTAGAGCTTTGAAGCTCATACTGAATTGAATCAAACTGTTCAGTACACCTCACACACATCCCTCTGCTCATTCGAGTTAATAACAACATCAGACAGTATTTAAGTTGAAGTCGGGTTTGAGTTGAATTTGTATTAAGCAAATAAACATTAAACTCCACTCAGTCACTCGGCCCGAGTTTTCAACCCTAATCTATGATTGAAGGTAAGTTTGCTCGAGACCTGTAAAAATTATATCCCATGTTCGATTTATAGGATTAGACTACTGCCTTTCTAGATCTGATTTCTCAACCCTCACCCACAAATCCTAGTACTAGTGCCCTTTTGAAAAAAAAAAAAGGGTAACAGTGTAACCAGCTCCACCACCATCTGTAAATGAGTTATGGCTGGAGGACAGGATTGCTTGTGTTGGGGTCAGATTGTTCACATGCCTGATGCCTGCTGTGCAGCAATATAGTTGTAATGTTGCCATCTCAATTAATGTAACTTACCATGTGGTAATAAAAAATACAGCTCTCATCTTGTATGCTGAAAATCAATTTTACTTTTAAACTTTTTGATATTATATTAAAAAATAATTTTTAATCACAAATTTTAGTTTAATTGAAGCTATTGAAGTTAATTTTCAATGAGCCGATAAATAGTTGAAAATTTATTCAAACTCGGCTTGTTAAGTCGAGTCCGAATAGTTCAGCTCAATTATCAACCCTAATTCAATCCTTGTAATGTTTTTTNCAAGAGCCTCCATTTGAGAGTGGATTAGTCGAGCTCCAGAGCCGGTGAACCACTATATTCTTACTGGGCAAATTCCCCTATCCCCTAAGAAACACTTCATCACTGCCATTACGAAGTTGGCAGCNAGATAAATAGTTGAAAATTTATTCAAACTCGGCTTGTTAAGTCGAGTCCGAATAGTTCAGCTCAATTATCAACTCTAATTCAATCCTTGTAATGTTTTTTTGGTACATAAAATAAATATGTAAATAGGTCACTTTATGTATCCGTCAGAGAACATTGTCTCTCAGTACCACATAACTATCTACAAGGAACTCCACTGCACTTATNCGATAAATAGTTGAAAATTTATTCAAACTCGGCTTGTTAAGTCGAGTCCGAATAGTTCAGCTCAATTATCAACCCTAATTCAATCCTTGTAATGTTTTTTTGGTACATAAAATAAATATGTAAATAGGTCANATGTTGTAGCATTATTGACAAATATAATTAAATGGATCAAGAATATCAAAATAATGGATGGCTATTCTAATGATTGTATAACCAGAATCAGAGCTAAACATAACCTAAAAGAGTTTTACATTTTAATGTATGAAATCCAACCAAAAAAACAACCCCTACTGACACCTCGACCACCATCTGCAATTGNCACTTTATGTATCCGTCAGAGAACATTGTCTCTCAGTACCACATAACTATCTACAAGGAACTCCACTGCACTTATATCGGAGCCCAAGGTTCCACCGCTTGCTATGTGAGACCCAACGAACTGTGATAGTTATAAAAACTCGAACTCAAGTATTAGACAAAAACATTCAAATTTTTACCCATCAGACCAACCGTTCATTGACATCCAATCCTTGATATGCCAGCAAGAGAAAGAGATGTGACAGTGGATATTCAGGAGGAAATGCTCAAAGGACTGCAGCTTTCGTAATTTATTCGTGCCGGTGGGAGGTTGGTCAAGTAATAAACTGTTACACCAACTGTTTGACCTGAGCATGCATGGAGGGAGTGATGGGTTTCCATTTTTTCTGAGAGTGACATTGTTTCTCCAATTAAGTTTTGACTTTTCCAATTCTTATACCTTGTTAGTCTGACTTTATGGGCTGTATAACTATAAATAACCCGCGTTGTACACGGTGCGAGAGATTGCTGTCGTTACCTTCAACCCGGCCTTTATCTCCCCCCCCCCCCCCCCANAAGTGAGGGAGGTTGAACAGAATCACAAATTAACCCTAAAATTGGAAAATATATTTATAGGGTTTTTAATATTCGGGTTAAACCCGATTATTAACTCGGGTTGAACCCGATTTTAATATTCGGGTTCAACCCGGTAACCCGATGGGTCAACCCGATGCCCGCCCAAATTGAATTTGGGTTAACATTTTTCAACTCAAGCCCAACCCAAGTTTTAAAAACTCTATCCCAAGCCCGTCTTTTTTCGGGTTGGGCTCAGGTTGAATTCGGGTTACCCAACCCAAGTTACACCCCTAATAATAATGTTACTAGTGCAAATCAATTAGTTTATAGGGAATAAAAAAGTGGAAAATCACACTTAAACCCCCCCCCCCCCCCCAAAAAAAAAAAAACAACTCTTTTCCTACACTGTACACAACCCCTCAGCCCAAGCTCCCCGAATCCACTCTGCCTCGCCAAAGCTACAACCCCATCAATATCCCTCCACCACCCCACCTGAAATATTAACATACCAGGTAATTTATATTTTATACACTTAACGTTTGTATTTAATTTCTATTTGGTTTTTGAAGTTATAATTGCACCGATTTCATCTTTGAAGTGTTAATCGAGTTTCAATTCAATCCTTCTATCCAAACCTGTTAATTTTTTCTAAAAAAACGATATCACGTGACTTGTTTATAAAGATATATTTATTCAGCAAAAAATATCTCACTTAGAGACATAGGTTTCTCTCTTTGTCCCACATAGGATGCTAAAAATGAAAAAAAGAGAAACAAATTACCAGAAATCTGGAAACAAGAAAAAGGATAAAATTGAGTTGATCAGATTTCTAAACCCGTTTTGTTTAGAGCCAAACCCAAACAGGGTGTGGGTGTGACTCAGCTGGAGTTGGCTTGGAGCAACTTCAAATCATTGACATTTTTCTTTTCCTCACTTCTTAACAGTTTGAAATCTTCAAGTTTTTAGGTGTTGATTACAATGATTTATTGTACAGTTTTTGAAAAAATTTTGTTGAGAAATCTATTATTTCACGATTGATTATTAAATTCTATTTCCATTCTTTTGTTGAACTTGAGCTCGGTTTCGACCAGAGTTTGATTTGAGTACTCACTAACTTTTACCGAGCCAAGCATGAAGTTCGATAGTTAAACTCGACTTGAGCTTGAGTTCTATTAGTCACAATCGAACCAAGTGTGATCATAATCAAACTCAACAAGCTCAATTCTATTAAAACTCCTAATTCTTGCTACTTGAGGTGAAGATAAGTTGGGTGCACCATCTAAAATCTATTACACTATAATCCACAGAAGTATCTACTGTCAAAAAGTTGGGGAATTGCAAGGTCAACCTCATACGCACCCATTAGCCAGTACTTCTAAATTCTCAACAAAAATCCACGTTTGTGCAAATGCAAGCCCGATGAGTTGGGTTTGAGGTCGTGGCAGAATGGCCATCTCACTCAACTCACAAGCAGCAACACCAATGGGTGGACAACGAGGCGCCCACCCCAGCCAGACCTCATTCCATTTTTTTCTCATTCCTATACAATTCTTTTTGAACACAATATTCAAAGTTGAGATCAAATCTATACACAACATTCTCATGAAATAAGAACACGAGGCCTCTCATGTCATGCATTCATTAGCAGATTTCCTATCATTTGCCCAAATGCTGATATTCCCACTAGGGTAAAATTGTATAGATGCGAAAATGTATATAGCTATTAATTTCCTACAAAAAAACACCATTCAAAGCAAGGGTGCAGAGAACAAAAAGGATCCATTTCAGTACTTAAAAACAAGAATGCATTGCAATACTCCAGTAATGCTTCAGAAGGCACTGCTATCTCAACATTCAATTATGCAGTAAAAAGGACCAAGAAAAAATAACATCTCATCCATCTGCCTAGAAATATAATGAAGAAAATAAATTACTGCATTATCAAGTTATAAGCCAGTCAAGAAGAACACAGGATCCTGTGATTTAGGGGACTGAATATCTAAGACAATGTTACTGAGCTTTTTGTAAATGTGATCTGCAGTTCAAATGAAATAACACGGGATGAATGAACCCAAACAAATTAGGAGATTATGGGACTACCATAATTGTTTTGGACTTCAAGTTTTCGCATTCCTTGTGAAGTCAATGCAAGTCTGGCAGCTGCAGTCTGTAAAACGACAGATTTCGCATCCAAAACACACACAGGAAGTGCAACCTCTGCATGTTGGAGAACGGGAGCAGCCCCTATACACTCTTCGACTTGCTCGTTCTTCGTCATCATCACATGTAACTCTGAAACACAGGATGAAAACACTCGCATCTTACGTCTTTTTGAACATATAGATGACAAAGTCCTACCACCATGACAAGGAATAACATGCATCCCATTTATCAATAACATAAATATGTATATATAAAATTAAATACATATGTGCATATAGTTGTTGGGACACGGTTTTGTCAAGTTAAGTTGAGTTGAAGAGTCTTTCCACAGATTTATTCTGTTTGCACACACACGCGCATAGTCAGTCTCTCTCTCTCTAGTGCAAGCTCAAAAAAGCATCAGAGACAACCACAATAATAGTTATATCAGTTTGTCCATCAAGTTAAAAATTTAGCAACTAAAAAAATCATCGTTGGGCAGAACAAATCTGAATGAAGAGGTGCCATCCAGTTGAAGCAGAAAATTTTTCACATTGACACTGTGCCACAAGAAATGTCTATACCAGCCAACACATAATCTAATATCCGATTCATGTAATTCTTCAACACTACACAACTTCAAGAGGTGAAATATGGGATCTACTAAAGACGGTGAACAATTTAAGAATTATGGAAATCAAACCAATATCCATCTATACCATCCAAGCGAATTACTCGGTCAGGTGAAAAATATACCAATCTACTAACTGCACTCAGCTGTGCTACTTAACCCACAAGAAAAACAGCTGAGCACATCTGATAAGTAAGCAATTGAATCAAACACAGCGTTATTGCAATATGTGGTGGAAACAATCCATTGTTGAAAGTGAGAAAAAAACGTTAGTTGAAAAGTACAAGAACAGTAACTGCAGCATAAGGAAACCAAATGTATTGCAGCGTAGTTCCACTAAAAGTTAGTTCTTTGCAGCATGATCGGACTAAAATAATTTTTTAATTCGAAAAAGGTTAAGATGAATGGGATTGCAGCTATTTGGATGATTCCATAACTAACTGTAAGAGGAAGCATCCTCTTAATGCTCAAAAAGAACTCTCTTTAAAGTGAATTACATCTCCTCACCTACCTTGTGAAGGATAATAGATAAGCAGAATAACACTTGTTCTAAGAACAAGTTGCATAACTAATTTTGCCAATTCAAACCACATTTCAGATGTTCTGACACTAGTTTGCCTGCCCCTTAAAAAGCTACCTGATGTACGCATTGTTTGATGCTACAAAGGTCAACATGACTGAAACCAACCCAATGAAACCTCTTCTTACAGTTTGTGCAAGCTTCAATAACAAATAGTGCCAACTATTATTTGAACTCTGTCCTCTTTAAAGTGAGGTACATCTCACATAGCTTTAAAGCGAGGTACATCTCCTCACATAGCTTTTATATGATATTGGAGTAACAGTACAACATTTGTCCTACTTTTAGAACAAAATGTGGAAAAAATTGTGCCACCACACAACGGATTTGTGTTATCCAATTTACACCTATAGTTGTGACACTGCATCCACTTTACACAGCTGCAGACACCAACGGAACACCACAGATGCCCATGTAATCCATTGTTCCAGAGAGTATCAGTCTACTGAGGGGATTGTCTGTCAGCATGATTAGGCAGTTACCATACTCCTGCCACACTGATCATTCTCAGTATATTCTCAAACTTAGCTTGCATTTGTACTTTAATTTCTCTTCACCTTATGGAAGACGTAAACTCTTTTTTGGATCGGTGATACATAAAGCAACTTATTGTTCTTTGAAAGCCCTTAGAACTGCAATGTAACTCCTAATCTTTTCTCCATGACCATTAGGCAAACAGAAGTGCAACCTGCAATTACGTCCTCAAATATTATCTAATACATGCAGATTCCAAGACTTCATAAATCCAGAAAACAAGATACTGAAGTGAAGGAATTCAATCTCAAGATAGATACAAAACTAAGCCTGTCTCGTTTTCTTGCCAAGGGATAACTGGGAGCACTCCATGAACATTGAATCATGGAAAAGGCTAGAAGCCAACAAACAAAGACTGAATGAAGGAAATAATGTGCAAATTATGATAACAGAATAGCCATCACATAGTATTATTTCACCTCTTCTAGCATTTGGGCGTCCTATGACACAATGGATCTAAATAAATTTAGGAAAAAAACAAAAGAAGAAACACTTGCTTATGAGCAACACAGAAATGTCTTTGGCACTCATACTTTCTTCATTATATAATGTATAAACATGCCCAGGACTTTTTAGACATATTTAATACTTAAATCTATCGATGGGAGGAAGAAGCTGTTTTAGCATTTGGTTATCATTCTGCCATTCCTGACTTTGTGCTTTCCCAAAAATTATTTGCCTTGTGCACTTCTACAAAGTTTTGGGAAGCCTTAACTATGGAGATCCATTTAGCTAGATGGGGTAAAATAAAATATGGTTATTGGCTAGTATTGAGCTCATCTTCTTTAAAAGTGGAAAATTTGTTTCTCAAGCATAAAATATTATAAACTTCAAGGCACACTTCTAAAAGCTAGAGAAATCACGAATTTCTAAATCAAAGGCTTGTTGATTTTTGGCTGTAATATTGATTGACTGGATTATAAAATCTTTTGGTTTGAAGAACAAGAAATATGAGGGTTTCAAGAATTTTTAAAATTGTTTTCAAAGGATTAACTAATAAATAACTTGTTTTCTAACTATTTTCNGACGAATTTCTAAATCAAAGGCTTGTTGATTTTTGGCTGTAATATTGATTGACTGGATTATACAATCTTTTGGTTTGAAGAACAAGAAATATGAGGGTTTCAAGAACTTTTAAAATTGTTTTCAAAGGATTAACTAATAAATAACTTGTTTTCTAACTATTTTCCTTGCTTTCTGGAAAAGCTTGCTTTGAGATAGTTCAATAGCCTAAGCCTTTGTGGAAAATTATCCACCACACTTCTCGTCTTCATGATTTATAGTAGTTCCAAACCGATAAGAGTGTGGTTACGATGTTCTTAATAAACCTATTTGGAGCTTTAGATAAATGGTGAATTAGTTTCATTTTTAAAGTAAATGAAGTCGGGTTTAATTTAGTTTCTTGCATTACCATTTCATTTTTGGGTAAGGTTATAAGAAGGGGATTGAGAGTTGCAAATTCCATCTTAGCAATGTCTGGCCTTTTACACTATTTCCTCCAATATCATTTGAAATAAGTGGAATCCTTTTGTAACGTCCGAACTCGCATTGTATAACATTGTCTATTTTATGTTAAGCCTGCATGGCTTTAACATATGTTGTACTATAAATGTCCAAAAATCACAGTTATAATGAACTCAAAACACTTCACCAAGCAATCTAGAACAAACTACATAGACTTGGTACATTTACCTTGACTCTAAGCCAGACAAGTCTTGTGTCTTAGAGTTGGGTCACCCCTATCCAGCCTCTCTAAGGCGACACATCNCACCTCATCTCATTTACCTTGACTCTAAGCCAGACAAGTCTTGTGTCTTAGAGTTGGGTCACCCCTATCCAGCCTCTCTAAGGCGACACATCCTTGCCTAGGACTTGTTCCACATTCCCTATTGGAACTAGTTCTCATAACATTTGTTAGACTCATCCCGGTTATCCCAAAACAAATAATATTGACCAATGAGGATCCAATCCGTTACCCTCTCATCCTCATTATCCCATTCTACAATTCATTCTGTCATTAATTGGGAAACTTTTACTTCTTAACCCCTTTATGCTTTGAGTCCATAATATTTTTACCTCCTTATGTTTTACAAATCTACACTTCAAATCCTTAAATCTTAGGGCCAAAGTACACCAGCTAATGGGGTAGATAGCAGTGTAAAAAGACAATAATGCCTTTAATTTTGTAATGTTTATCTTTCTAAGAGATTACACTGAAAATATGTTACTACAAAAAACAAAGAAAGAGATGCGTGAGAAAGAAAGAAATTGGGTTATCTTATGAAAGGGGAAAAAAAGTGATATAATATGCAAGAAGGTATAAAAATGATTTTGGCATGTTATTTTATTAAAATCTTGGCTTATGACCTTTAACCAACAATTTTAATGTGCATTCCAAGATGGCAATTTAGTACAAAACTATAACGGGGTGAAGCATAGGTTTTTAAATCATATGGAGGTAAAGTTTTCACTGCTTAAAGTACAAGGGGGTCAAAAAAGACCTTTAATGTGCAAATATGTCATGTCCTATCAAAAGCCACACTAAAAAATAAATTTTGTGATATGGAAATCCTAACAACACTTCGCAAACAATCTCCACTATATGATCTATGTAACACAAGCACTTCTAATAAGGATGAGCACAACCTGAAGTGTCCAATCTTTTTTGTTTCTTTCTCTTCTAAGAAATATCATAAACTCAACACCAACATGTCAATCACGTAGTGCAGATGCTTCAATCAAAGAAAACTAGAAAGCGAAACTTATAACAAGAGATGCTTCAATCACTTTGATCTTGACCTCACCTAGAGTACTTAACAAGAAACAACACAATCGCAAAAATGGATAAAACATACACATATAATTGAAAATATGTAAAAAGTGTATTGAATCCTCTACCAGCACACAATCCTGCAACCATTCCCCCTGCCTTGCCCAAAATGCTTTTTACTGTGTTAATATAGAAACACAAAACATTTAGTAAAGTGCAATGCCTAATTTATAGATATGAGTATACACGTATGTCCATATTTATGTCCCCCATGTTGGTGACCTACCTTTGAAAAATGCATTTGGCTCTTGTATCTATGTTCTATTGTGTCTATATCCACATTAGCTAGTTTCTCTGAAACGTGAGTTCATTAGAGTTACAGGAAAAAGGATAAGATGAATTGCAGTTTCTAGCCTTTCTTCGTGGACTTGGTGCTCCTCAAAAAACAGTGAACAAGGGTCATCAAAAAGCAAATCATGAATGTTCTACACATAATCAATAAAAACCTTTACAATGAACAAACTGATACCAGTAAATCACTTGTTAGTAGTCTGATCACCAATATCAATAAAAATGTAATATTACTCCTAATTTTCACATTTAATTCAGTAATATACATAAAGAAAAGGTTAAAGTTTAGCATGTGCCCCCATCTAATACTCAATAAAGCTGCAATAAAAAGAGGGCAGGGAAAACATACTTATCATAAGGCATATCAGAGCATTTCCAANCTAGCATGTGCCCCCATCTAATACTCAAAAAAGCTGTAATAAAAAGAGGGCAGGGAAAACATACTTATCATAAGGCATATCAGAGCATTTCCAATTGTTCTCAGCTAAGGCATCATGGTAACTCCGGCATTCCTCTTTAGTGCGGAGGCGGAACCTGCGCTCCTTATTACAGTGAGTACAGCAAACAAATTCATCACGGTGAAAAACTCGCCCATTATGGGAACCATTGGCATTTTTTGATGCTTGATTGTAATATTTGAGCAGTGCTGTCTTAAATATAGGAACCTTCTCCCCATTAACCATGACCCAAACATTATTCTTCCATTTCCTGGCAGTTTCTCTTCCAGAATGCTTCTCAAATGCAGCCGGGGTCAACTTGTCTGTTCAGGAAAAAAAAACATCTACTGGTTAAAATGCACAATGAAATGGTATTAATCAGGCAGAAGAAAAGAATTTTAACACCACATTGAATATTTAGAGAGAAAGAACCAGAGAAAATCAGACTGAAAACATAGAGAAAACAACAAAACAAGACATTCCAACACTTTTATGTTGCACAAACTTAAAGTCAAAAATGTTGCTTCATCTCATGAAGAGAATAAACAGAGAAGAAAAGGGAAGCATCCCATCTTTGCAACGAACTATAAGAAGTTTGGTTCATCCACTCCCATTTGCTGGTTTACACCCTGCTCTCAAGGATGATACTGCAAACTTCAAGTTTAACTCGACTAAACCTGACATTGTATCTAGCAAATCATGATTAAAAAGCCAAAAAAAAACAAAAGACTGCTTATACAAACAAAAATAAAAAGTAGATAGACGCCATCAGCAAAAATATGATGTCCAGCTGAAAGATCTAAATGNTGACTAAACCTGACATTGTATCTAGCAAATCATGATTAAAAAGCCAAAAAAAATCAAAAGACTGCTTATACAAACAAAAATAAAAAAGTAGATAGACGCCATCAGCAAAAATATGATGTCCAGCTGAAAGATCTAAATGTGGTTGTATACAGAATCCATACCAACTACTATTAAAGGCCAATACTTGCAGAAGTTGGGCACTCATTGAAAAAAAAGGTTAAACCTGTTTATCAATCTGACAGAACAGCTCCTTCTAAAAACGAAGTGCACATGCTAGTGTGCCGAATTTTCCTTGAGTCGCTGTAAGAACTTTAGCATCATTTTACACGGTACTTCTACACCTAACAGTGAGTACAGGAAATGTACAGCCAGATGACCACTGATCAAAAAAAGGTGCCCGTATTACCAAACCATCCGCCGAGACTGAAGAAAATGCACGCACATACCATGAAAATGCAACCAAACTTTACTGTATATGCCTGCCACGGCAGCCAGGCCATCAAGGATTGACAATTCCTAATTGTATAAACCATGAATCAAGTCTACACCAATGCTTGGTTGCAGACAGAAGATCAAGAAACAAGCACAACACTTCGTACACCAAAACCTATAGAAACATAAACCTTGTCATATGCTCAGATCAAGCTTTCAGTTCTTCATAACGGAAGAACAGAACTCTGCATCAAAATCAAATCTTTAGCGGCAAAGCCTGTCACACATTGTATTTGACAAGAACAATCACAATGTGTATGTATCACCGTCCCTCCCATGTGCACTTGCCAAAGAGTTTCTCAATCAACTAAAGGCTATGATTGAATCTGATCCCGCAGCATATGAAGTCAGTAACACATAGACGAAGTGAAGGACGATGTTGTGGGATGTTATCAAAGAGAAGTCGTTCATTTAGACAATTCAACATACAATTGAACTGCGTGAAAACAAAAACAAAGCACAATCTTGAAAAGAGCTTCAAACCCTTTATCAGAAACCTATAAAACACAACATTTTATCGTAAAACAGACAAGAAAACGCAGTCTTAATCATCAACTTCAAAACAATGCACGATAATATCTATATGTACACACATATAGCATGCACACACACAGATCAAAACAGTTTTGGAGTAGAAGTCGAAGAGGAGAGAGAGACCTTCCTGACAACCAGGAGTGCATTCACAAGTGATTTCGAGATCACCAGTTACAGAAACCCTAAGCCTCCCAACAGCATCACCGTATCGGTGGCTCGTACACCCACACGTCACCTCCACATAATCATCTCCTCTCTTCAACCCACTCATCTCTCTCACCTCCTCTTCGCTGAACATCATAACACCACCGTTGCTACTCACACCATTCTCCATCTTCTCTCTCTCTAGAACAACCTGTTACCGAAAACGACAAAACAATACACACCCACAAAGCCTTTCAGAGAGAAATCGAACCACAAGTCTCAAAAAATAAAATAAAAATCATATGGGCGAAATGGGTATGTTGTAACCCGAGCAGTTGAGAGAGTGTATATATATATATTTGTGAAGAGTTCTATATTATTTATGCAGATGAATGTAGCGTATCTTGAGATAGAGAGAGTAACGGAGAGAGAGAACGACCCAGAAAAAACCACAAAAGGGTAGAGAGATCTTTTCAACGAGCACGCATCTCCAAGGGTTAGCCCGAGAGATCTGGTGGAGAAAACGTTGAAAAGTAGGGTGTGTAGAGAGAGAAAGGGTTTTAGAGAGAGAGAGAGAGAGAGAGAGAGGGATGAGTTTGTGTTGAGTGCGTGAGCTGGCGTAAGGTTGCCAACAAATGTTGTGAGGTAAAGGCTGGAAGGGTTTCGAAGTGTTCTTTTTTATAGAGGCGATCGCCGATTGGAGGGGTAGGGGTACTAATTGCATGACATTGTCCTTAATGGTAGCAAATATATATAAATATAGATATATATATACAGAGAGAGACTGTGAGAAAGAGAGAGAGAGAGAGAGAGAGAGAGAGGCGTAAGGGATTTTATGGGTTTGTCTATGTGGGGAAAATCCACCAGCTGGGAAGAGGACGAGGTTTTTCGAAGACCGTACATTTACTTTTTTACTGCTCATTGGTTTTTTTTTATTATAAGTTGTATTTAACCAATTATTTGCTCAAGTTCAACAATTACGCACCGTTGCTTGAGCATGCAACTCCCTCGTGGTTACTAGCTAACTAACATAATTTGAGTTAAAATAGAATATGTCTTTAAAAGAATAAGAATGACTAATATTTAAAGGGTGTAAGAATGAATTAATTGTGTGACCTCTGAATTTTTAAAAATATGTCCAAATACATTTTTAGGGTATGTATGTTTGGGGAATTGTGTGCCACTTATTATTTTATTTGGTTAAAATTTTATGTGCAATACTATTTTCAGGTTATAATATCGATTCGATTTGTACAATAGTCTTTAATTTTTGTACATGGTTTTAATGAATACCACATATAACGTGGTATTATTTGTTGGTATAAATCCACCTAGGGACTGTTTGTTTTGAGTGTTAGAGTGGTATAAGAAGGTAGTATTAGAAAAATAGTACGTGGGACTCATCTTATACTTTGTTTGTTTGGTATTTTATAGTCAGTATTATTTTTCGGATCGTAATACCGACCTGCTATAAACAGTAATCATAATGCCTTATAGAAGGTCTTAATGAATNTAAATATAGATATATATATACAGAGAGAGACTGTGAGAAAGAGAGAGAGAGAGAGAGAGAGAGAGAGGCGTAAGGGATTTTATGGGTTTGTCTATGTGGGGAAAATCCACCAGCTGGGAAGAGGACGAGGTTTTTCGAAGACCGTACATTTACTTTTTTACTNGGGGATGAGTTTGTGTTGAGTGCGTGAGCTGGCGTAAGGTTGCCAACAAATGTTGTGAGGTAAAAGGCTGGAAGGGTTTCGAAGTGTTCTTTTTTATAGAGGCGATCGCCGATTGGAGGGGTAGGGGTACTAATTGCATGACATTGTCCTTAATGGTAGCAAATATATATAAATATAGATATATATATACAGAGAGAGACTGTGAGAAAGAGAGAGAGAGAGAGAGAGAGAGAGAGGCGTAAGGGATTTTATGGGNCAAATATAGATATATATACAGAGAGAGACTGAGAGAGAGAGAGAGAGAGAGAGAGAGAGGCGTAAGGGATTTTTTGGGTTTGTCTATGTGGGGAAAATCCACCAGCTGGGAAGAGGACGAGGTTTTTCGAAGACCGTACATTTACTTTTTTACTGCTCATTATAAGTTGTATTTNAAAAAAAAATTGAATTTTTTTTCTTGTATTATATATAAGTATACGATGTCACCGGTTTTTTTAAATTTTTTTAAAAAAAATTATTTTGAATTTTTTTTTATATTATGTTTAAGCAAACGGTCACTGATTTTTTTTAAAAAAATTATTTTTAATTTTTTTCCTGTATTATGTTTAAGTGTATAGCGCAACCNATGACTAATATTTAAAGGGTGTAAGAATGAATTAATTGTGTGACCTCTGAATTTTTAAAAATATGTCCAAATACACTTTTAGGGTATGTATGTTTGGGGAATTGAGTGCCACTTATTATTTTATTTGGTTAAAATTTTATGTGCAATACTATTTTCAGGTTATAATATCGATTCGATTTGTACAATAGTCTTTAATCTTTGTACATGGTTTTAATGAATACCACATATAACGTGGTATTATTTGTTGGTATAAATCCACCTAGGGGCTGTTTGTTTTGAGTATTAGAGTGGTATAAAAAGATAGTAATAAAAAAATAGTACGTGGGACTCATCTTATACTTTGTTTGTTTGGTATTTTATAGTCAGTATTATTTTTCGGATCGTAATACCGACCTGCTATAAACAGTAATCATAATGCCTTATAGAAGGTCTTAATGAATACTACCTAAGAAATTGTATTATATTCTTGGTATAGTTATTATAAACTAAAAAGACCGAAATACCTTCCAGTACAATTCTCATATAAAAGTTTAGCCGCAATTTTTGATTTTTTAAAAGTTAAAATTATCTTTTACATTAGTTAGCCGCAATTATTGACTTTTTAAAGTAAGTATTACACAGATAATATTTGTGATAAACAAACAAGGAGAATGATGAAATTATAGTTTACACTGGGTATAATATACTATTGAATTGGAGTGGAATGAATATAAAATTTTATATCACCTAAATTTTATGCTCAACAAACATGCCCCTATGGAACAAGCAAAAAAAATGACACAAATACACTCTTGTCTAGAGTTTACATATTAAAAAAAAAATTGAATTTTTTTTCTTGTATTATATATAAGTATACGATGTCACCGGTTTTTTTAAATTTTTTTAAAAAAAATTATTTTGAATTTTTTTTTATATTATGTTTAAGCAAACGGTCACTGATTTTTTTTAAAAAAATTATTTTTAATTTTTTTCCTGTATTATGTTTAAGTGTATAGCGCAACCGTTTTTTTTTTTAAATTATTTTGAATTTTTTTTCTTGTATTTTGTTTAAGCGTACGGTGTCGCTAGTTTTTTTTTTAAAAATTATTTTGAATTTATTTCTTGTACTTTGTTTAAGCGTTTGGTGTCGCTATTTTTTTTTTTTTTATGTTTTAAAAATTATTTTGNCTTTGTACATGGTTTTAATGAATACCACATATAAGGTGGTATTATTTGTTGGTATAAATCCACCTAGGGGCTGTTTGTTTTGAGTATTAGAGTGGTATAAAAAGATAGTAATAAAAAAATAGTACGTGGGACTCATCTTATACTTTGTTTGTTTGGTATTTTATAGTCAGTATTATTTTTCGGATCGTAATACCGACCTGCTATAAACAGTAATCATAATGCCTTATAGAAGGTCTTAATGAATACTACCTAAGAGATGGTATTATATTCTTGGTATAGTTATTATAAACTAAAAAGACCGAAATGCCTTCCAGTACAATTCTCATATAAAAGTTTAGTCGCAATTTTTGATTTTTTAAAGGTTAAAATTATCTTTTACATTAATTAGCCGCAATTATTGACTTTTTAAAGTAAGTATTACACAGATAATATTTGTGATAAACAAACAAGGAGAATGATGGAATTATAGTTTACACCGGGTATAATATACTATTGAATTGGAGTAGAATGAATATAAAATTTTATATCACCTAAATTTTATGCTCAACAAACATGCCCCTATNCACCTAAGAAATTGTATTATATTCTTGGTATAGTTATTATAAACTAAAAAGACCGAAATACCTTCCAGTACAATTCTCATATAAAAGTTTAGCCGCAATTTTTGATTTTTTAAAAGTTAAAATTATCTTTTACATTAGTTAGCCGCAATTATTGACTTTTTAAAGTAAGTATTACACAGATAATATTTGTGATAAACAAACAAGGAGAATGATGAAATTATAGTTTACACTGGGTATAATATACTATTGAATTGGAGTGGAATGAATATAAAATTTTATATCACCTAAATTTTATGCTCAACAAACATGCCCCTATGGAACAAGCAAAAAAAATGACACAAATACACTCTTGTCTAGAGTTTACATATTAAAAANTATTGTGCAAAAGAGTTACGCAAACAGGGTAATAGAATGGAAGCCCATGATAAAATTGTATATTTGTTATACAAGACGTGATAGAAAGATGGTTGTTTATGGGACTCACAATAGTACCTATTGAACAAACAAATATGAAAAGGAATTAAAATATTTTTTATTACTGGTACTAATTTTCATTGATATTGAAAATATAAAGAATACATTTTTTAATACAATGCTCAAAACAAAACAAACAAGCTCCTCAAGTTTTGGGNAAATTATTTTGAATTTTTTTTCTTATATTTTATTTAAGCGTACGGTGTCGCTAGTTTTTTTTTTAAAAATTATTTTGAATTTATTTCTTGTACTTTGTTTAAGCGTTTGGTGTCGATATTTTTTTTTTTATGTTTTAAAAATTATTTTGAATTTTTTTCTTATATTATGTTTAAGCGAATGATGTCACTGATTTTTTTTTTTATGGTGTCACCGATTCATAGCATCATATTCTTTATTTTTTATGTGAATTTTTTATATTATCTAGAATTTTTTGGGTATGAATTATCATACAATATATTATACCAAATATTGTGCAAAAGAGTTACGCAAACAGGGTAATAGAATGGAAGCCCATGATAAAATTGTATATTTGTTATACAAGACGTGATAGAAAGATGGTTGTTTATGGGACTCACAATAGTACCTATTGAACAAACAAATATGAAAAGGAATTAAAATATTTTTTATTACTGGTACTAATTTTCATTGATATTGAAAATATAAAGAATACATTTTTTAATACAATGCT